GACAACGGCCCGGCCGGAAGGCAGCGATCTCGCCCCAGCCCCGCCCACGGCGTTTCGCGCTCCGGGGCTCTAGTATCGCGAGATTACAGGGAGGGATGGAGTGGGAGTCATTCCTGCGTTCCAGTGATGTCATGTTAACAGCGGCAAAAAATCAACAAAACCCCGAGTTTATGGGGGGGAAAAATGTCTCTCTGTATTCTGGTTTCCACTTCCACTGAAACCACTCTGTCTCAGAATTGATCTTTTAGGTAACAACTTTTTAAAAAAATATTTTTTATTGATTTTAATGATGAGAGTCATCAATCAGCTGCCTCCTGCACGCCCCCTACTGGGAATGTGCCCGCAACCTAGGTACATGCCCTTGATGGGAATCAAACCTGGGACCCTTCAGTCTTTAGGCCGTCACTCTATCCACTGAGCCAAACCGGTCACGGCTCCCAACTTTTTCTTATAAAAACTTCCAAACATACAGAATATAGTACAGTATTCACTCTAATTCAACCCAATATCCAGACTAAACAATTAACTTATTGACGTATGTGCTTTACCTGTATATAAGTGTTTGTAAAACATATTTTTGCTGCCTCAAAAATCCCAAAATTGCAGGTGAGACACACCACCCCAACATACTTCAGTATGCATCTCTAAGAAATAAGGAATTCTCTTTTAAAATCATAGTACCATTATCACGTCTTGAGAAAATGAACAATCATTTATTAATACTATCTGCTACCCAGGCCCTATTCAAATTTCCTCAGCTTTCCTCAGAATAATCTTTTATAGCAAATATTTTCTTTTGAGTCAGGATCCAAACAGGAGTCACTGCATTTGGTTGCTATGTCTTTGTGGGGTTCCCCCTCCCCCAATTTCTCTTTCACTTTTTAGTGTTTCTTAATATTGGTTTTTTGAGGAGACAAGGTCAGTTGTTTTGAAAATGCACCACATTCTGGATTGTTTCCTTATAGTGTTGTTTATCTTTGTTCCTTTAATCCCACAAGGTATTTGAGATTGGAAGCAGTTCCCAAATACATTAGAAATAAAACAATTTAAATTTTTAATAACCAAGGCCACTGAAAACATAGGTGAAATAGGAAGATAAGGAGTTCTTAAAGAGGGAAAGGTTAGTGTCCAAATAGTGGAGACATAGAGGCAGAGAGAGAGAGGAGAGAGAGAGAGAGAGAGAGAGAGAGAGAGAGAGAGAGATTGAGATTTTCCTTTGTTTGCTCATGTGTAAAGTGTAAGTGGTATGAATTCCTTAACCTTTCTTCCAGTTCTTAGGTTTTAAACTTCTCTAGGGAATAAAGTAGCAGATAACCCCAACAACTACTTTTATATGGCTGTTTCTTAGATGAATAGAAAGCAAGTTTAAGGAAAGCTGGACACTGAAAGGTCCCCAATATCCAGAACAGTACCTAGTACAGCTTAGGCTTCAATAAATATTTCTTGAATAATTGAATGAAGATGGTCTCCAGTTTGGGCTGAAGGCATAATACTTAAGGCTAATTAATGAAATCAGTTATGCCAAGGACAAAATAATCATGATCTATGGTAGCAAGAAGAATAAATAAATGGCCTCCATGTCCCTTTTAACCTTCCGACTAGGAAAGGCTTTATTAAAATAGGATACTGTACAGTTCAAGGTGATATATGTTCTAATCTGCCTTGAGGTACAGGTGTTTTGTGTGACTGGTAATCCCATCCAACTGCATTTTCTCCTTAGGAAAAATTCAAAATCATGGATTAATTTACTATATTTTCCTCAAATTACAATATTTTGGTTTAAATACACATGGCATAAGAGCCTCTGCAGTTGGACTAAGAGTCAAGTAGAAAACTGAAAGAGAAGGAAGTTTTTACAAGGTAGCCTCAGAATACAAAAAAAATAAATAAATAAAAGCAAGTGAAGCCCTAGCCAGTTTGGCGCAGTGGATAGAGTATCGGCCTGCGGACTGAAGGGTCCCAAGTTCGATTCCGGTCAAGGGCACGTTCCTTGGTTGTGGGCACATCTGATGATGTTTCTTTCTCATTGATGTTTCTAACTCTCTATCCCTCTCCCTCCCTTTCTGTAAAAAATCAATAAAATATATTAAAAAAAAAAAAAAAGCAAGTGAAGCAAGAGTAAACCCAACGCAGCTGGGATAGCTCATTGGTTGATCATTGACCCAAGAGGTCAGAGGTTGCTGGTTCAATTCCTAGTCAGGGCACATGTCTGGGTTGTGAGCTCTATCCTCACTGGGGGCCATGCAGGAAGCAACAGATATATGATGTTTTTCTTTCATAGATGTTTCTATCCTTACTTTAACAGAAATGCCTCTACTGTCTAGCTATTGATTTGAGATGGGTATTTTTATTAGATTAAGCTCAGTTACAGGAAACAGATACCAATCCAGCTATTTTAAGCAGAATGCATGCCTGCAAAGTCATTGAAAGGACGGGAGGAGTGGGCGTTAGGCTGGGTGATAAAGAACGCCACTCAGTGCAGTGTGGACAAACAGGCCTGATAAAGAACTGCTACCTCTGCCCCGGTTGGGAAAGGAGTAAACAGAAAGCTGGTATGCTGGCTTCAAGAGCAATGCGTCTGCCAAAACTCCCTGTCCCATATATTATGTTGCTGCCTAACAAGTTACCCCAAACCTCAAAAAACAACAACAAAACACAAAATCTCAGAAAAAAAAACTAACAAATTTTTGCTGATCATGTGACTTAAAACAATATACGTTCATTATATCCCAGAATTTCTGTTGGTTAGAAATCTGTAATTGGGCCAAGAACCAAGATGGCGGCATAGGTTAACGCCGGAGTTTGCCGCCTCGAACAACCATTTCAAAAGTGAAACTAAAAGACAGAAGGGACATCACCCAGACCCACAGGAACGCTGGCTGAGTCGAAGTCCTAGATCTAGCTCCAAGTGAGCCCGTATACGGACATGGGTATTTTTATTAGATTAAGCTCAGTTACAGGAAACAGATACCAATCCAGCTATTTTAAGCAGAATGCATGCCTGCAAAGTCATTGAAAGGACGGGAGGAGTGGGCGTTAGGCTGGGTGATAAAGAACGCCACTCAGTGCAGTGTGGACAAACAGGCCTGATAAAGAACTGCTACCTCTGCCCCGGTTGGGAAAGGAGTAAACAGAAAGCTGGTATGCTGGCTTCAAGAGCAATGCGTCTGCCAAAACTCCCTGTCCCATATATTATGTTGCTGCCTAACAAGTTACCCCAAACCTCAAAAAACAACAACAAAACACAAAATCTCAGAAAAAAAAACTAACAAATTTTTGCTGATCATGTGACTTAAAACAATATACGTTCATTATATCCCAGAATTTCTGTTGGTTAGAAATCTGTAATTGTCTTAGCTATGCCATCTGGCTCCAGAATTCTCATGGAATTCAGTCACATTTTGGCTGGGGCTTCAGCCATCTGAAGGCTTGACTCAGGCTACTTCAAAGGTGGCTGCAGGTTGGTAGAGAGGAGGGTACCTCAGTTCCCCCTCCAAGTGAGCCCCTTCCCAAGCTGTGTGAGCATCCACACTACATGGTGGCTGGCTTTACCCAATGACCAAGGAAGCAGCAGCAATGTCTGTTATGATCTAGCCTCAGAAGTCACATATGATCACTTCTGCAGACTCTCTTGGTCACAGGACTCAGACCTTATTCACTGTGGAAGGGGATTACACAAGAATGTGAATACTAGGAGACAGGAATCATTACGCGCTATCTTGGGAGCTGGCTACCGTATCCCATAAAATTAGTGAATGCACATTGGGATGCTATTGCAGAAAAATGTCCCCAAAAATATGCCTGGCAACAACAGCCAAAGCAAGGGAAAGGGGCCCCTGCCTTATTTGCATCTTCCAAATATAACTGCAGAGGAGTCTGCAAGTACAGTTTGCTTTGTGTCTCTTTATTTTAGCTTTTCCATTTCTGCAATACAGGAAAGCACATTAAAAAAGGGATTAAAATAGATGATAAATACCAGTCCATCAAATTCTCCACAAAGACCATGACTTTGTGGTACTTCAGCACCCATACAGACATTTATAGAATATTCTATAGCAGAGAATTGGAGCAGCGATGGTGGGGAATGAAGCTGAGTCAGGGTCGCTGCTTTGCTGAGTGGATACAGCAGAAAGACAATAGTGCTTCAGAGGGCAGAGTGCTAACTTTTTGAAAAGAAAAACTCATAGATTTAAACATATTTTCAATTCAAATTTAACATTAAATGATTCTCATTCTCTCATTTGTATGTATATATAATACACTTTTAAAAACAGCATTAATAATGCCAATCTTACAACTAACCATAAAACTAATCAATGTGATTTACTAAGATTTCTTTGTGGTTCTAATTCTCATTGGAATATAACCCACGAAAGAAATTCATCAGCCCAGCCGGCATGGCTCAGTTGGTTGAGCCTTGTCCCATGCCCAGAGAAGTCACTGGTTCTATTCCCTGTCAGGGCACAAGCTCGGGTTTGGGGCCCCATCCCAGGTACGGGTCCTGCAGAGGCAGCCAATTTATGTTTTTCTCCCTCTCTCTCTCCCTCTCCCTTCCTTTCTCTCTAAAATCTTATTCATTGAAAATGTTGTTTTCTAGAGTCATTTGGATAATTCTTTTCCCTATATGGTTTCACCAATGTGAAATTCATACCATGTTCTAATCATATCTCTCATCACTGAAAGTTTTAGCTCCCTGATTCCCTCTTCACCCAGCAAGACTGTAGTTAAGGTCACCCAGGAAGTGATAGGATTTGAATTCAGGCAGTCTGGTGCCAATGCATGCCTTCACACACTGCACTAACACCTTGACTAGTCCAGTGATCATAGATCTGGGCTTCTTACTGGATTTGAGTGGGGATGTGGGGGGAGGGTTGAGCCAGATTACGAAGGCTCACATATCTATGGAGGTAAATATGGATGTGAGTTAATGGGATTAATCTGGCCACCCAGTCTCTTATTAGAGTCTACTGTGAGTGCTTAGCTTGCATCCTGGACAATGTGGCTATTGGGAGAGGCATCTTTCTTACCAGGAACAGGCGGCTCGGTGAAGGCTTCTGAGCCGCTGTCTTCTCATGTTTTCCTCATTTCTTCTCTTGGGTGATTCTTACACATTCTACAGACTTTAGCCTAAGTGACCCTTCTAGGAAAAGCTTTCCCTAACCTCTCCTGCATTATGTTGGGAAACCCTGTTATGCACTCCTATGTCAACCCATCTTTCTGCATTTTTCTCACTCACTAGGATGCAAATTCAGTGAGAAAAAGGTCTGTCTTGCTCAGAGCTTAGCATAGTGCCTGGCCAATAATAGGCTCTCAATAAATATTTGTTAAATCAGTAAAACATATTGTATCAATAAATTATTAATTAAAAGTGAAAGCTCAGAATGGCTTTGTCTGCCCTGCCTTTACCATCTTTTGTTTGTCTGTTAGGGCAAAATCTAAACTAACACCCAAAGTCTAAAAACTTGAAATGAGAAACTGGCTTTCTAAAATCTAAAATTTAAACAAAATAAAAATAAATAAATAAATAAATAAATAAAATCTAAAATTTAGACAAATGTGAAAATCCACAAGAAACGCTAACATATTTAAATCTTTAAATTTAGGAGAGAACTACTAATCATTAGGAGGCACTTCTTAGGGTAGAAAAAGATGTTGCCATTAGCCACACGTTGTTAGACATTTGTGAAAGTGGCAGCTTCCAGCCAAATGGTCTGACCCCGTTATGTCAGGCCATATTTGGCTCTACTAGTATATAAAATGTTTTTTTTCTACTCAATTCTTGGAGAAAGAAAAATCTGCAGGCTTTTTGAGGCCATCTACTCAGAAATAGAGCCTACTAGGAAGTTAAGCAGTTACGTGCAAGGTTCTTTTATTTTTGTTTTATCTTTTCGAATAGGTAATATATGCACATGGTTCAAAAGTCAAATGATATAAAATGGTGTGCACTTAGAAGTTTCCTTTCCACTCCTATCCCTAACCACCGTAGTCCCCATATCCTTCCACCACTTTTATTATTTAATAATCCTATATAATAAAAGGCTAAGTGACTTTACGGCAGAATGACTGGTTGCTATGACTGCACTGAGCAGGCGGCCAGGTGAGCGGTTAGGGGCAATTAGGCAAGTAGGCAAGTGAGAGGTTAGAAGCCAGTGGTCCTGGATTGTAAGAGAGACATCTGCTGGTTTAGGCCCGATCCTGGATGGGGCCTAAACCTGCAGTCGGACATCCCCCAAGGGCTCCTGGATTGCGAGAGGGCACAGGCAGGGCTGAGAGACACCCCCCATGCATGAATTTTGTGCACTAAGCCTCTAGTAAAATAATTATTTTAAGCGAAATACATATTTTCTCAATATGTATTTATGCAACTACCTCCCTCTCAATCCCACCCCCAGTGTTCTTCCAGACTCGCCCTTACTACCCATCTAACGAGGAGTCCCAGGGGCCAAGTCCTCTACTGGACTGCAACTCAAGTATCAGGACCCAAGATTCCCTTCCCAAATAACCCTCCACCCACTTCTAGGACCCGGTTGGCTTCTGTCCAGGAACCTCCTCTTCCTTCTTGAAGGCTGTGCACAAAACCTGGGTTGGAGAGACCACCCCCAGAAGGCAGATTGGCACAAGTGGGTGGAGCTTGGACAGGCAGGTGTGGGGGTAGTGGAGGGAGGGGTGCTGGTAGCATGCATACCAGGCCCCAGGCAGAGGCATGGAACCTGGGTGGGAAGAGGAGGGCTGGTTTGTGGCTCCAATTTGTGCGCTTGCCTCTCTCCTCCTCCTTCTCTCCCCCTAAAATAAGGGGCCAGCTAGGCTTTACATACCTATCGTATGTTCACAGCCTATGATAGTTCTATCTGTAGACATGCTTCTCTGCACCTCCTACCAACTACTTATGGTTTCCCCAGATATTCTGGACGTTTCTATAAACGTCCATGACTTTCTACATGATGCCGACCCAAACCTCTCTCCCTTTTCTTCACCTGATGAAATTCTTCTACTAGTTATCTACCGACCAGTTGGTATACCAGCTCCTGTGTTAGTGATCACTGCAAATCCTCTCTACCCTCCAACCCTCACCCCCAGGCAGAGTTAGCTGCTCTGCATGTGTGTGCAGGGGTGGAACGGGAGGTTACCCACTGGGATCTCCTAACGCTCCCTGTGGAAACACACCATACTGTATGTAATTGCTTTTTGCCCCTAGATTAGACTGTGTGGAAGCTCTTCCAGGGCCGAAAACATGGTTCTTCATGCTTATCCCAGTGCCTGCCCCCAGCGCCTGGCACTCGGTGGACAGTCAACAAATTTTCAGTGTGGTAGTGTCATCAGAATTCCAGCTCTTCCCAGGGACCACATGGCTTTGGGCAAGTTACTGAATCTGGATTTCCTACCAGTATTATTTTTTTTAAATAAAAATGAACATAATTACCTTCTTGAACGGCCCTAAGGATTAAATAAAACAACCGTCCCAAGTACTTCGGCATAATAATAAATAGTATGGGCTTGATCGAGGATAACCATGATTAAGTTAGCTCCTATATTCTGATCCTAGGTAACGTGTAAGAGGAAGTAAATAGTCCTTCCAAGCCAGTGACGTGGTTCCCCCAAATTTGTACTTAATGTTGCAATCTTAATAAAACCGTGGGAAAATCATTTTTTTAAAAAATGCCCCGGGTAAGGGTGAGGCTTGAAATTGTTTATTAAAAAGGTACCAAGGGCCCTAGCTGGTTGCTCAGTGGTTAGAACGCTAGCCCTCAGATTGTAGGATCACAGGTTAGATTCTGATCAAGGGCGCATACCTTGGTTGCAGACTTGATCCCTGGCTCTGGTGGGGAGTGGGGGCGACATGTGGAGGCAACCTCTGTCTCTCCCCCCCCCCTCCCTCCCACTGTCTCTAAAACAAAAACAAAAAAGAAACAATGGGAAAAAAATACCCTCAGAGGAGGATTAACAAACAAAAAGAATCAAGTAATATTTTTTAATAAATCCAAAGCATTAGGAAACTCTTGGCACTGGACACAAAATGTGTGAGAAAGTACTAGATTACAATCTGTTTTGAGAGGTTTTTCACAGTAATGCTTATCAACTAAGAATGGGGAAATAAGGAAGCATAAAGTGTATTTTTTATAACTACCTCTTTAAGAACTTCATATAATTATAACTGTATTTGTTTTTATTACTACATACTTAGCTATTCCTATAAAAAGGCTGTAGGTATACCTGTAGACATTCTGTTTAGATGTTTTTAAAAAAGGAAAAGGTAATTGCAAAACATGCCAGTAAAAACAAAATAATTATTAAGTTGCTCTATGTATCATATCTAATCTGCTATCACTTGTTTCCCCAAATTCAGGACTTTTGTCTATTAGTATATTGTACAATATTAAATGAATTTGCTGCTATTTGCATTCTTGTACCTCTAAATCCTGTTTTTATTAAGGAGGAAGACCCCCCCCCCTCCGCAAAAAAAAAAAAAAAAAAAGAAAGGAATGTGATCTAAGCTTGTAGGAAAAATCAAAGCGGGTTGATTACACTTATTTGAATTTTTTTTTAAATTCTCATCTGAGGATGTTTATTAATTTTTAGAGAGGAAGGGACGGGGGTGAGGGTGGGGGGAACATCAATCGATTGCCTCCTGTCCGAGTCCCACCCCTGACCAGGGATTGAAACTGAAATTTAAGTATGTTATTACCTAAATTATCCTGACCGAGAACCAAACCCACATGGAGTGATGCCCTAAGCAAGTGTGCCACCGGCCAGGACCACTTTCTTATTTGAACCTTATTGCTCAGACAGCCTGATTATAATAAAGTTTGCTTAATGATCTCAATCTTTGTCTTCCAAGCTAGGGCAAATAAAATAAAAAGGATACTGCTGTAAAGCTGGTGAAGCAAGCAATTGCTTGGCCTGTTACAAAATCAGACACTTTTTTCTGCAAGTTGTCCATGCTCTTCATATGCTATTAGCTGTTATAGCTTACAGTCTCAACTATGGGAGACTGAAAACCCTATAGTTTGCAAACCTATTATCTACAAGGGCTAATTATACTAATTCTTTTCACAACCAGCACATCTGATTGCCCATTATAGAGTCACTGAAATCTATAGGAGCTGCTAACTTAAAATCTTTGGCTATATGAAGATAGCTAAGGTTGAGAATAAATAGGTATTATGGGAGAGCTAGAGATACTAATAGCAAACTTAGGAAGATTTTAACGGAGTAAGACAAAAATCTGGCAAATCGTGTATTCTAAGTGGCAGGAATGAAAAGTAGTGTTATTCTTACAAAGTTAACAATATCATAGTAAAAGTAGCTTTTCTTTGAGTTGCCTTTTGTGCTTAAAAAAATAGAACAAGTTGAAAAACATCTTGACTCTTGCCAAGGCGCCCATATTTGAATTCTACCCTGGAGGCGGGAGGAAGCCGGAGCTTCCTTATGGAAAGAGATGGCGGAGTTTGGCATTGAGTTCTTTCTCCTTGCTCAAAAGATCCAGGCTGTGCTTTTTGAAGGCTTCTGACTGCAGCCTGAGCTCGTCGTAGGCCTTCTGGATCCCAGCTATCCTGCGCTGGAGCTCCCGGACTCTCAAGTTGCTGTCCACAGCCACCGCCTCTTGCTCAAACCGCTCTAGCGCCTGTCGCCTGGCCACCTCTGCGGCCTCCAGCTTCTCCTCCAGCTGGCGGATGTCCGCTTGCTTGCTCTGCAGCACCTTGCCCCTGTCCATGGAGAGCTGGAGCAGCTCCTCCTTCTCCCGCGTGACCATCTGCAGCCTGGCCTGCAGCTCCTGGCTCAGGCTGCCGTGCGCTTGCTCGGCCTTCGCCATCTGCTCCACGGCCTGCTGGTGCTGCTGCTGGAGGCTCTGCAGCTGGCTGCGCAGCTGCTCTGTCTCCGCGGTGTGGGCGCGGGCCTGCTGGCTCTGCAGCTCCCGCAGCTCCTCCTCCCGGGCCTGGGCCCGGCCGGCATCCTGCGCACACCTCTGCTTCAGAGTCTCCAGCTCCTGGGCCAGGGCCTCGCTCCCGGCCGTGAGCTGCAGGACTTTGGCCTCCTGGTCCTTCAGAGCCTGGCTGAAGAGGCGGCCGTTCTCCAGCCTCAGCCTCTCGTTCTCCTCTCTCAGCTTGACGTTCTCGCTCTTGTATTGGTCCTTGAAGCGGATCATCTCCTCGTGGTTGGCCGCCAGGGTCATGAAGCGGTCCTCCAGCTTCCGGGCATGCTCGCTCTTGGCCTTCAGCTTCTCCGCCTCCAGCATCCCCTTCTCCTCCAGCTCCGTGTTGAGCAGCTCCAGGATCTGGCAGCGCTCCAGGGCCTCGTCGGCCCTCCGCTTCAGGATGCAGATGAGCTGGGACTGCTCGTGGATGCGGGAGCGAAGCATCGCCTTCTCGCTCTTCTCCTCCTCGGACAGGCCCCGGAGGTTTGCCAAGGCCTCCCTCAGGCCATCCATTTCCTTAAACCCCATCTCCTCTTCCTGGTTTTCCAGGGTTTTGTTTTGCGTGTCCAAGGGCTCTTCAGAGGGTGGGGTGTCCATCCATCTCGAGAACCTGCTCATTCTCAGGCTCAGGTGCTCTCTCCGCCCTGGGCGGACTCCGCCGCACTCTTTTCCGTTGCCAGGGGCTCCGGGCACTGTCGGCAGCAGTTTCCCCCAGGGTGGAGCCCCGCGATTGCTGGGCGGGTCTTCAGAATGCGATGACGTAACAGGGGACCAATCTGGCGGGGCTCTGCTTGCCTTTCTAACCAATCACAGCCCTCAGCTCACAGCCCCGGGTCTGGCCTCTGCGGCACCCGGAGCAGATCCAACCCTCCGGGTTTGCAGCCAGCCTCAGGGCAAGAAAGAAACCGGACTCCACCCCATCTGGTTGAAGTAAACAAATCGAGCTGGCAGCGACTGCTCCTGCCTCCTCTCCCCACCTCAGTTGTCATGAGAATAGGTCACGGTCTGTGGAAACACAGTTGGCTCCATTGAAAACTGCAGTTTGTAAATACAAAGTAGCAGCGGTGCGCTGAGAGCCGGGACCCTAAGTGCCTTGAGTTTGCATCTGTAGTGCTTGGCACAGTTCAGCAAAAGAGCAAACCCCAGTGAAATAAATACTCTTTTTTTAATTGGGTATTCAGCACTCCCTGTTTTTACTCACTAGCAAAATAAGGTTATAGAAAGAAGCTTAATGAGTGACATAGAGAGAGCAAACATCCAAACAGAAGACAAAGAACCAAATGAGGCTTACTGCCATATAGCGTCCATTTCAGAGGAATTAAGTAGTTAACTGTAAGGAATAAAATAAAGCCCGACCGGTATCATAGCTCAGTGGTTGAGCGTCAACCTATGAACCAGGAGGTCATGATTCAATTCCCCCTCAGGGTACATGCCCAGGTTGCAGGCTCCATGCCCATTGTGGGGCCTGTGCGGAGGAAACTGATCAATGATCCTCTCTCATCATTGATGTTCCTATGTCTCTCTCCCTTCTGCCCTGAAATCAATTTAAAAAAAAAAGAATAAAATAAAAATCAAAGTATTAGAAGTGGAAACTAGAAAAAAATAAAGGAAACCATACAAGTTCTGGGTCAGGAAGGACTTTCTCAGCTTAAACATTGTGTGAAAGAGGAGTAAGGAAAAGCTTACTTTGACTGTGTTGGACAGTTGTATATAATTTAAAAAATTGGGCCCTAGCTGGTCTGGCTCAGTGGATAGAGCGTCAGCCTGCAGACTGAAGGGTACTGGGTTTGATTTCAGTCAAGGGCACATGCCTGGGTTGCAAGCTCAATCCCCAGTAGGGAGCATGCAGGAGGCAGCCGATCAATGATTTATGTTATGTCTCTCATCATTTATGTTTATCTCTCTCTCCCTCTTCCTACTTCTCTGAAATCAATAAAAAACATTTTTAACAAATTGTGACCTATGAGGTGTATAATTTAAAAAATGGACCTCTGAGGTCTATCCAGCTTCTCCTTCCTCTGAACTTGCCTGGCATTTTACCCCCTAGCCCTAACCAACTACGGAAGGTCCCCTAACCAGCCAGCTCCCTGGCTCTGTCTGTAGGTGTTCTCTTTGCCTGGAATGCCTTTTCCCACCTTGTCCTGTGCTGCTCTAGTATTTCGCTCAGGATTTAGTTTAGAATCACCTCCTCTGTGTAGCCTTTCCTGTCCCCAACATG